GTGTTGCTCCCTCAGCTAAATAACTGCTAGCTGTTCCAGCTTTGGAACATGCTGCAGGTCGAGCTCCCTCTCGATTGAGAGCTGGATGTTTGCTCCCTCAGCTACAGATTTACTGCTAGCCACCCCAGCATATTGAGCCTTAAGATCGAGTTGATGACTTCTCAGACATAGCGTTTTCGGATGCACCATTCCTTCTATGGGCGGCTCTTTCAGAGTGCCACGAGAACCCCTTAGAACGGTATTGTTTAAAATCCATGTTATGGTAAGTGAGCACGTGAAGTCTTTGTACACTTTCTAAAATCCACCTCTGGCATGCACTCCCCTCAGCATGGCAGCGTGGGTATACCGTTCCCCATAGCGACCCCTAGAGGACGCGGTTCGAAGTTCCCTTGAAAGTATTATGTGTTATGTAACCATGGTTCCCTGAGTAGGGAACGAGACACTGCGTCCTCTATGTTTCTTGCCATGCTGTGGACGCAAGCTTCAGACGAAGAAGTGGATGATGTGTTCTCCCGGCGCCTATTTATACTATAGTCGCACCGGTAGTGACGTCATGGCTGCTGCCGGCCAACGTGTTGTTGGTGTTTTTTCAATGTATGCTTCAGACACGGGTCACGACGAGGCGTTCCCCATAGCGACCCCTAGAGGACGCAGTGTCTCGTTCCCTACTCAGGGAACCATGGTTACATAAGTAACCTGAGACGTTTTGTACTATCTACTAAGTTCTCAAACAATATTAATTATTTATCTTATTGCAGTCACTTTCGATAAGGCAAAAGAGGAGCAAAAAATTATTGAAGAACAGAAAGAACGGTAAGTAAAAGACATTTGTTTTTGTTCCCAAAAACAAAGTTTGCTCAAAAGATCTGACCTACAAAAAGTCAAAGAATTTATATTTTATTGAAAATTTTATTAAAGTATTGTTCATTTTCAAATAAAGGCGATATCTATTAGCTACTGGATTCTCTCCAGTATTAAAAAGACAAAGAATTGAAAGCACTCAAGGAATGACAAAACACCAACTTACTCCTGCATCACCTGCATCTACATCTAGAATGTCAGCTGATGGTGAGTCAACTTCTTTTGTCATAATCAGTTTGAGAAAAATTATTTTTTTGTAATTACATCACAACTCATTTTAAACAACAGACAAGGATGAGCTCCTCCAAATGATGAGAGACATCAAGAGCACAGTTCAGGAAAACTCTGCTATGTTAAAGAAACTACTCAAAGACAATACAGTTTCTGAGGTCCCCAGCAGTACTTGCGTTCCACCTAAGGAAGTTAAAACAAGCCTAAATCTGCCTCTTAGAACCTTTGATGATATGAAAAGAACTGAAAGGGAGCTCAACACCACAACAACACGCAAACAATATGTAGGTCGACACAGCATTTAATGTCCCTCTTGTTCCACAACTATTTACCAAATAAATAAATACATACATGCTAATTGGACTCAAAATTATTTGATCTTACTTTTAGAAAAGCTTAAAGCTTCTGCTAAGAATAAATGATACAGGCAGACAATTATAAAAGTACAGTGTTCATTATATATTTGACCATTATAAATACTTGATCATTCAGTGCAGTGATTGACCAATTACAATTATATATAAAAAGTGTTTTCTTCACAGGTAAAATATTTGTCAGAACTTGGAGGTTTTGGAAACAGGGATGTGATTAAGAATATTATGCAACATGCCCTAACAGATGATCTGGCTAAGGAATTCAACTGGCAGGGAAGAGGAGATAAAAAACCCTTCTCTCAGCTGATTTTAGCAGACGTGATCAGAGGTAAACTTCCCACATACCAAAAATGTTTGCATTTTATTCGTATTTTGTCTGCAATCTTCACTTTCAAATGAAATATTCAATGGCTAAGGGTAAAAAAGAACTCTTGAGATTAATTTGACCCTAAGAGTGTATAAACTGTCTTCAGCTCAGAGTATGAATTAATTCATCATCAAGGTTCTTCTTTCAGAGGCTGCATTCAAACGAAATGTAATCAGGGTCGACTGTGAAACTGAAATAAAAAAATATCTGAGTTACACAGGTGATCGACTCAGTCGGATGAGGCCAAGAGAACAAGCAGGTGAGTGACAGATTTTATATGAATGGGCCCATAGGACTATTTTTTTTTTAAATACAGATGAGCTCCTGACATACTGACAAGGACTTCCTCTATTTAATTTTAAGATCAATCCAAAAACCATGCAATGTTGAATGCTTGATACAAAGTGCTTACCTAATCATTAGTATATAGCACATTTTTTGCCATTTAATGGTGAACAACATAAAAAAAAAAAAAAATAATAATAATAATAATATGTTGTTTAATAAACATGGTATAGTATGTTTTGTATAATTACCTACTTCCCCCCCTGCAGGGCACGAGATCCCAAATGTGATTCCCACACTGATGGACAACCAACCAGAAATGTCTTGGGATGTTTTTGATGACTCAGTGTGGAGTATTTGATCATGAATCACAGGTCATGCAGACAAAATTACACATTAACCATACATTTTATGAAGTACTGCATGTCATTTTAATTTTTTTTTATTTAATTTTATTTTTTTTTTCAAATTGTGGTAATATCCTTTTCCTCAACCTTTATTTAACAGTAAAAAAAATAATCAAATATTGAAAGTTTCCCTGTGACATTACTGCATGAATTGACATGTTTTTCAGCTGCGTGACAGTAGTGGCATTAGTTTGTTTGAGCCAATAAACTTTATTAAAACAAAAAAGTGTACAAAATTTTGTAAATAACTTTTTAGGCTATATCTGTCATTTCCAGTGATTCATTAAATTACATGTGACGATTCCATTCTAAATAAATCAGAATTACAGATTATATATCCTCTCTTTATCAGTGCTTTTTGGCTTGTTAGATAACTAATCGTGCAATAGTGAAACTCTGTTGTATTTATGTTTAAAATCAATGTTTTTTGCTGGCTCTTGTTCATCCCAGTGATTCTGGATGGCATACTGACACCTGCTGGGGATTCAGTTAGCACAGAATTCCATTACATCAGTTTTTTTTTAATACTATTAAACAAGACTCAACTGTTACTGCACATGAGCTCACATTGTGATCTCGTTTTGTAAAACTGTGCAGAGATTATAATATGTGACGTGTTTGGTGAGTGTTGTTTAGATATTAGTCAAGTCAAGTCAAGTCACCTTTATTTATATAGCGCTTTTAACAATGCAGATTGTGTCAACGCAGCTTTACAGTATCAAATAGAAAAAATAGTGTGTCAATTAAAGGCAGTTCATCATTGAATTCAGTGATGTCATTGTCCAGCTCAGTTCAGTTTAAATAGTATCTGTGCAAACAAGTCGACGATATCACTGGAAATTAAATGTCCTCAACTAAGCAAGCCAGAGGTGACAGCGGCAAGGAACCAAAACTCCATTGGTGACAGAATGGAGAAAAAAACCTTGGGAGAAGCCAGGCTCAGTCGGGGGGGCCAGTTCTCCTCCGGTTGATCCATGCTGCAGCAAAGTTAGATTGTGCAGAGGGCTCATCTGATTCCGTGGTCTTGTCCCGATGGCCGTCTAGGAGACAAGGTCTTCACTGGGGATCTATCTCTGGGGCTCATCTAGTTGTCCTGGTCTCCGCTGAAATTCAGGGCTATGGAGGTCATCTCTAGGTGCTGATCCACCATCTGGACTGGATACGGACTGGATCCAGGTGACTGCAGTGACCATCTGGGCTGGATACGGACTGGATCTGGTGGCTACGGTGACCTCGGAATAAGAAAGAAACAGACTAATATTAGCGTAGATGCCATTCTTCTTACGATGTAACATGTACATCGTGTGTTATTTGAAGTGCTCCCAGTTCCGGTTGATCTAATTAATGCAGCCTAACAATCCTTTAACGAATCTGAATATTAGAAATGCGTTAGTATGTTATGTGTAAGCAGGGCCGTCCTTAGGGGGGTGCAACTGGTGCAGTCGCACCGGGCCCCGCGGCAAACGGATCGAGGAACTGAACGTGATCGCGAACTGACTGAGGGGGGCCCCGCTCCCTACCTCACACCGGGCTCCGCATCAGCTAAGGACGGCCCTTTGTGTAAGCCAGGTTAAAGAGATGGGTCTTTAATCTAGATTTAAACTGAAAGAGTGCGTCTGCCTCCCTAACAATGTTAGGTAGGTTATTCCAGAGTTTGGACGCTAAAGAGGTGATATTCTAGGTATTATCAAATTGCCAAAGTTTTGAGAGCGCGGCGGATGTGGAGGTCTATAATACGATAAGAGCTTGCCATCAAGTGTTAGACAGTGTTCTAGGTTATTACATGTGGAGGTGTTAGGTCCGATAATTAACACCTCTGTTTTTTCAGAATTTAGCAGTAAGAAATTACTCGTCATCCAGTATTTTATATTGACTATGCATTCCGTTCAAATTGGTATGTTTCGCCGGGCCATGAAGAAATATAGAGCTGAGTGTCATCAGCATAACAGTGAAAGCTAACACCGTGTTTCCTGATGATATCTCCCAAGGGTAAAATGTAAAGCGTGAAGAGTAACGGCCCTAGTACTGAGGCTTGAGGTACTCCATACTGCACTTGTGATCGATATGATACCTCTTCATTCACTGCTACGAATTGATGGCGGTCAGATACGTATGATTTGAACCATGCTAATGCACTTCCACTAATGCCAACAAAGGTTATTACATGTGGAGGTGTTAGGTCCGATAATTAACACCTCTGTTTTTTCAGAATTTAGCAGTAAGAAATTACTCGTCATCCAGTATTTTATATTGACTATGCATTCCGTTCAAATTGGTATGTTTCGCCGGGCCATGAAGAAATATAGAGCTGAGTGTCATCAGCATAACAGTGAAAGCTAACACCGTGTTTCCTGATGATATCTCCCAAGGGTAAAATGTAAAGCGTGAAGAGTAACGGCCCTAGTACTGAGGCTTGAGGTACTCCATACTGCACTTGTGATCGATATGATACCTCTTCATTCACTGCTACGAATTGATGGCGGTCAGATACGTATGATTTTAACCATGCTAATGCACTTCCACTAATGCCAACAAAGTTTTCTTGTCTATTTAAAAGAATGCTGTGGTTGATAGTGTCGAACGTAGCGCTAAGATCCAGTAGAGAGATACAACCATGATCAGATGATAAGAGCAGGTCATTTGTAACTCTAATGAGAGCAGTCTCAGTACTATGATACAGTCTAAATCCTGACTGGAGATCCTCACAGATACCATTTTTCTCTAAGAAGGAATATAATTGTGAGGATACCACCTTTTCTAGTATCTTTGATAGAAAAGTGAGATTCAAGATCGGTTTGTAATTAACGATCTTTTGGGTCAAATTGTGTTTTTTTAACGAGAGGCTTAATAAAAGCCAGTTTGAAGGTTTTGGGACATATCCTAATGACAATGACAAATTAATAATAGTCAGAAGAGGATCTATGACTTCTGGAAGCTGCTCTTTCAGGACCTTAGATGGAATAGGGTCTAGCATACATGTTGTTGGTTTAGATGATTTAACAAGTTTATAAAATTCTTCCTCTCCTATAGTAGAGAATGTATTGAATAAATACCTGGGGTTATGTTTGATTTCTTCTAAAAGAGACGAAAAGTAATCAGATTTAGCAGTTTTTAATGCTTTTCTGTAGGATAGGGTACTTTCCCACCATGCAACATGAAATACCTCTAGTTTTGTTTTCCTCCAGCTGCGCTCCATTTTCCGAGCTGCTCTCTTTAGGGCGTGAGTGTGCTCATTACACCACGGTGTCAAACTGTTTTCCTTAATCTTCCTTAAGTGTAAAGGAGCAACTGTATCTAAAATACTAGAAAATAGAGAATCCATAGTTTCTGTTACATCAAGTTTTTCTGAGCTATTGGATATGCTAAGGAATTGAGATAAATCACGAGGATTACTTACAAAGCAGTCTTTTGTGGTAGAAGTGATGGTTCTACCATACTTGAACAAGGGAGAAGAATTTAGTTTTAACTATATGAAGTTTGCACAAGACTAGATATTGATCTGAGATATCATCGCTTGGCTGCATAATTTCAACACCATCAACATCAATTCCATGTGACAGTATTACACAAGACTAGATAATGATCTGAGATGTCATCACTTTGCTGCAGAATTTCAAGACTGTTAACGTTAATTCCATGAGACAGTATTAAATCTAGAGTATGATTTCGACAATGAGTTGGACCTGACACGTGTTGTCTAACCCCAATAGAGCTCAGAATGTCTAGAAATGCTGATCCCTGTAATGTGGGGTTTGGGTTTTGTTTGTGTTTCTTGTTCTTGCTTTCATGTCTTTTAATTTTTAGTTTGATTCATGCTGTCAGTGTCATGCTTCCGTTGCCCTCATGTATCTCTGCCTTGTGTATGTGTCATGTTCTCATTGGTTATTGTCTTGTCATGTGATTATCAGTTCTGTTTTCTGATTGGTTGTCTTTGTCATGTGTCTTGTTTCCCATTGGTTTGTTCTTGTCATGTGACCCTCATTGTCTGCTATAAGTAGCCATCATGTTGCCATTGTTCCTTGTCGTGTATTGAAGTTGGAACCAGCTGTTGGTGACTCTAGTCTGTTTATGCCTCGTCAAGTCTGTTCATGCCTAGTCAAGTCTGTTCATGCCTAGTCAAGTCTGTTCAAGTCAAGTCTAGTCAAGTCTTAATTTATTGTTTGGATTCTGGATTTCACATTGTAAATAAAACTGCACATGGGTTCTCACTATGCTCACCTTCAGTGGACTGGATCATTACAGAATACATGACCGTTAAAATTAACCCAGCAGTTGTTCGTCTCCTCCGCCTTCGTCAAGGTGATCAGGCTATTGAAGACTATGTTATTGAGTTTCTTGAACTTTCCAACCATGTGGATTTTAATGACGTGGCACTCAAAGACATTTTTCATCATGGATTAAACAAACCCATTTGTTCCCGGCTACCTGGAGGAAAAATAAACTGGTCTCTGGAGCAATACATTGATCATGCTCTGCTGTTGTGCGGCTCATCGTACACTGTGGGTTTTACGGATAAGGAGCCCCGCAATACTACAGTGCCCACCACACCAGAGCCTCTTCACATCCCGACCGTCAAGTTAGGAGTTGTTCACGTCATGCCTACCAAGCCAAAGCCTGCCCACATCATGTCTGCCAAGCCACAGCCTT